CCCACCTGCCCACCAGCTCCCACCTGCACTACCCAGGAATAACTCACATTCACCATCCCTGGCATGAAACTTCACCAGCATTCTCGGGCTTCATCTGAATGTCCTTCCTTCTGGAAATACTCTTGCCCTTGCTTCCACTCCAGACTTTTGCCAGCCCAGGGTGAGAACACAGAGTCCCATGCACCACATGAGTGTATCATAAATGAAATTTAATAGTTGCTAAATGAAGTGTCTGTGCTCTCCTCCGACCTCAGCAGATGCGTTCTCACAGCCACAAAACCAGAGCTGTGGCTTCTTGATTTTTTATAATTTTGGCAGAGGAATAGGCTGCCGTTTGCAGAATTCTTTATATGTTCTCATAATGGCCTCTCTGTTGACTGGGACCCAGGCAGGTCCTGATTAGTAATGATTTCAGCTCTCTGCTTCTTACAAAATAAAATTCATTCGAGTAGCATGGAAGAAGTAGGCAGCCAGAAAGATTTCAGCAGGAACTTAAGGACTGGCACATTCTGGCCATCTAAGCTCTGAAATTTAGCTTAGTTTTTCTAATCTCCAAAATGGGAGCACAAATACCTTTTGGGAATGCTCTGAGCAGAGAAATACACATGTACTTAACACACTTTATTAGTGTGTGGGCTATGATTGACTTTTTCCTGAACCAAAGGCAGAATTCAAAGAGTACTAACCATAACTATTTCACGTATGGGTGTTGTTGCTGGGTCAGCAATATTTGGATGAGTAATTAAGACATACATAATTCTTAATTTGTTATAATTTAAATAATAAAATTCTTTCCTTGCCTTGTTTTTAGCAAAAAAAAATCATGTAATATTACAATAAAATTTTCACATAATTAATGTTCTACTGTCAGTAATGATCCTCCCCTCCCTGGAGCTTTCAGAGGGGAACTTGTTCTGGAACATGATTTCTGCCTCTGGCCACTAGAACTTAAGTTGTTTCAAACCACTCAATCTTACAGTGGCTCTAGGGAATTAACACATTTGAGTTTTTATTTTTTTTTTTTAAAGATTTATTTATTTTTATACAGGAACCGGGGTACAGGCCAGATGCGCGGGAGGGTGAGAGAATTCACCAGAGGCAGAGGAGGGAACAGAACAGGCAGACTGATGAAATACACCGCTGAGGGGAGCAGTGGGTGAGACAGGAGAGGTCTGGTGCGTATGTGGGACTCTCCCCGGCCAGCCAGGATATCGAACACGCGCTGCAGAGGCTTCGGACAGCTTCATAGTGCAGTGCTCAATCGCCTGCACCACCAGGGAGGCCCATATTTGGATTTTTAAAAGGTCCACCCAATGAGGTTGGAAGGGAATCAAAGTGAATGAGGCTGGCACAGTTAGGACTCCATTGCAGTTGTTCCCAAGAGATGAAGGTGGCGTGGGCCAGGCTGGTGACAGTGGGCATCAAAATGAAGCTGAAAGATGCTTGGGGTGGGGGGTGACATCTATTGAGAGAATAGAAGTGGGCAATTGGGCCCTTTTTCATGGCATCATGCACTTTGAAAAGAGGATCTGAGGTACTTCCAAGAGGTTTGTCACCAACAAGGCAGACAGGCTTGGGCATAGGCAGCTATGGCTCCTGGGACAGGCCAGCGGGTCAGACCTGTGTGCCAGAGAGATGTCCCCAGCTGTGAAATCAGCAGGCAACCAGAATGTGAGCTCTGGGCAAAGCTCTGGTCCAGAAGAAGTTTTAGGGATTAAGAAGTGTATTGAGGATTTGGATTAGAACAGTTGATTGGCTGGGAATAACATCAATATCTGAAGCAGATGTGTGATCTGAGAGTCCACGGCCATTGGCAGTAGCAAAGTTCAAACACACAACCCAGCCAATGTCACCAAGTTGCCTGCTCCCACTGCCAAGCTTCCCCACAGCAGGCATTGTTAGTTGATGCCAGAGTCCACAATCTCCATTCTGGGAAGACCCTACCAATAGAGTGGAATAGGAGGAGGAGGTGAAATTCTCTTTCAATCCCAGGCAGGGGTGGGATTCAACAAGGGATATTCAGACCTCGCCAGATGTTTATAAATCTGCACTTTGTCCATTATCTTCTAAAGAATCCTGGAAAGTCGACATGGCAGGCCTCTGCATGACTCCTGTTTCCTACAAGAGGAAGCTGAGGCCTAGTCAAACGACTGGTAAAGGACTGAGCAGTGTTTAGATTAAGGTCTTCTGTTGCAAATCTTCCTTCTACTCTGCCAGGAGCAGATGTCAACTGGTGACCAAAATAACAAAGACCACTGAATCCACAAATTTTTCATATTGTGGTTAAAAGATATAGCATAGAATTTGCCACTTTTAGTGGATAGTTCAGCAGCATTAAATCATTCTCATTGCTGTCTCCAGAACTTTCATCTTCCCCCAACTGAAACTCAGTGCCCATTAAGCACTCACCCTCTCCCGCTTCCCAGGCCCTAGCAACCACCCTTCTTTCTTCTCTCTGTCCCTGTGAACTTAACTACTGCAGGTACCTCGTACTGGTGAAAGCATACTTTAGTTTGTCCTTGGGGTGAATCAATATTTGGACCTCAGATTGTGCACAATGAAATTCAACTCATAGTCTTAGCTGCTTCCTTGATTCAAATGACATGCTTACGGGGGCTTCTGTTATCTTTATTTTCTATCAAAAAGCAGCATGAAAATCTAAAATGCCTTGATTTAATCCATATGCTGTTTTCATGGAAATGCGTTTTTTTTTTTAATGCCTTTATCTTTACAGGCATTTACAAACCCTTGCTTGGAAAGAAAGGGTTCAGTGAGTTTCTGTGATGACTTCATGCTAGCAACCTAACTCAAAATTCTTGAGACCTATTTTCAGAAACCCTTTTTTTAAGGTATGAGGAAGTAGTACCGGTTGGTAATTTTGGTTTCCTTTATTTTTGCTGTTTTCATGGGGCCTCTGTCAAATAAAGGCTGACACCTAACTAGGTCAGGTACTGTGTTAAGCACATAATGTGGGCAAGGCAGAAATGGTGCCGGACTGAGGTTTGGTAATTTAAGAAATGCAGTAGGTGTTCCTGAGAGAAACTTTTCGTGGATGACCCTAGCAAAAGTACAATACCAGAGTGGGAGTAGGGAACTGTATTTCTGGACAAGTAGAAGTTGACTATCCAGATTCTATCACCCAGGGAAAAGTCAGAGGCCCCCACTCTAGAGCTCCAGACCAGTCTATTTCTAAACCACTGAACACTTCTGATTGACATGACATGTGGGACCCATTTTTGACTTCTTAAAAAACTTGCATTCAGCCTTTAAGAAGAAGGGAATTAGGTCACATGCTACAGCGTGGGTGAACCTTGAGGACATTTTGCTAAATGAAAGAAGCCAGTCACAAAAAGACAAACCTGCATGATTCCACTCTAAGAGGTATCTGAAGTGATCTAGCTCTTAGAAACAGGCAGTAGAATGGCATTGCCAAGGACTGAGGAGGTATGGGGAGTTCTTGTTCAGTGGATGCATAGTTCTGTTTTATAAGATGAAAAAGCTCCAGAGATCTATTGTACCACTAGGTGTGGAGTTAATACAATGCTGCTGTATGCATACTTAAAAATGGCTAAGATGGTAAATTTCATGATTGTGATGGTGGTGGTGGTGGTCGTGGAGGAATCTAGCACAGCACTGACCTCCTAAGGACTCACAAATTTGCTGAAAAGAAATTTATCCTAAATTTGCAGTCTCAAGTCCTGGCCTCATATTTTTCCTATACATTTTAGCTATGGGGTTGGGAAAGGTTGGTTGCTTTCCTCTTCCCTGCCTTTTTAATGTGTGCAATTTATGATACACAAGGCAAGAGTTTTGTAGGAAGTCATCCAGCCAGAGCCACCCCCTCTCTTGGGCCAGTACCACCTGACTAACTTTGAACATGCCAACTTTGGACTGAAGATGGCCTCACACAGCCACCATTTTAGAGACTGACAATGGACCTGCCTCACATGGCCTCCACTGATGTCTGGGGATCCCTTCCTAGTGACCGGTGTGGGGGCAGCCCCCATATGTTTTCAACCTTGTTTGGTCACAATCTCCTCTTGACCAGGTTTCTAGTACCTTCTCACTTCACCAGCAGGGTTTATTTGTTGAAGTGAAACCTTAGTTAAGGTTTGTTGAGGTTTGTGTTTAAAAATTGGCTGTTCCCACCCACATTCCCTTGAGATATAAATAGAAAAAAAAGAGGTTGCACGAGTAAGGTAAGACATTCGAGCTTCGTCTACTTGATCCTTGTAAAAGAAATCTAAGAGGTTCTAACTATCACTTTTTTCAACCCTATATAAGATCAGTCAGTAAAGCAGCAAAACCACCTCTGTTTTTTGTTCCTTCATTTCATTTTCCTGATTCTTCTTGGGGGATAGTCTAGAACGGTGAGTAGCTGGTGGACTTAGCAAACCCCAGGACTTCTGTTGCACATGCATTCACATTAGGTTTGTTATGCTCAGGTTCCTCATGGAATTGGTCTGGAAGAATTTTTGTATCTGATAAAGGGGCTCTTCTGGTCTCTGATTCCCACCCTTCAAGAGAGAGATAACATCTCTTTCCCGAAGGCCTGTCAGCAGCCCAAGCTCTATCCTTCCCCACAGCAAATCTGCAATAGTGCCTTTTGCTAGCTGGTGCATGAAAATGCATTTGCACAAAATGCATCTGTGACCAGGTTTACTTCTGAATGGTGTGCAGATGCCATCCCAGAACCATGTGAGTGATGATATAAATATGTATTTTTTAATAAGAAAACAGATTCAAGTCATTCTTTAGGTTTTGTTCTGTCGTTTTGAGGTAATTGCCCCCCCCCCATCTTTGGTGTATATTCAAGAGAGGCCCTGAGATCTAAGGTCTGGGATCTTTTTAGCATTTGGCTTTTACGTGGCTATCCCACCTCATCACTTAGCAGACAATGACATCGTCTCCATGGGCCTAGGAGCACGTCCTGCGCCACGGGTGCATGTTCCTGCATGCCGTTCACTGTGTCTTGTTTACTCCGTGTCATCAGGTGGACCATGAGCATCACAGACCTGCTCAGTGCTGACGACATCGCTGCCGCCCTGCAGGAATGCCAAGGTAAGTACAGAGGGGGTGAGCGCGGTTCTCCACATCCAGCAAAGCCACGAAAATTAAAATGCAAACTTTACTGAAAATTCATTGAATCTGAGCACAAAACTGTTCTTAACTAAAGAGCTGAAGTTGTTGGAGAACTGTACGTGCAATTACATTTCTGTAAAGAGAGAGAAATATACTAGAAATGAAAAAAGAAGCCCGTGGAGACCTTGTGGCCTGCTTGGGTCCAGCCACTGCTTTTCCTCCAATCAGACCCATGATGCCGGAGTCAGTCTTGGAAACACAGCCTGTGAAAAGGGCAGGGAGAGGCACTGCAGAGAGGACGGAAGAGAAGTGAGAGGGGCACAGCCACATGGAGAGGGGATGCCGAGGGAGGGGGCAGGAGAGGAAATCCCAGAACCAAGGCAGTTTGGCTGCCTCAAAATCTTGGACTAGTCACAACTCTCTTTGCCCTTATTTGCTTTTGTAATTTTTTGAATAGAGCATCCTAGTAGCTCAATGAGATTATGAAAACTATTGTGGATAGCCTGTGTTTTCAGCAATTGTGGCCCAAATACAAAATGTGACCCTAGGAGCATCAGCATAATCCATTCTCTGTTCTTTAGACCCAGATACTTTTGAACCCCAAAAATTCTTCCAGACATCAGGCCTCTCCAAGATGTCGGCCAGTCAGGTGAAGGATGTTTTTCGGTTCATAGACAATGACCAGAGTGGATATCTGGATGAAGAAGAGCTCAAGTAAGTTTTGTCCTAAATGTGACATTGCTGGGTGGGGCCGGGATATGTCAGAGGCCAGTTTGCACAGTTTCTCACAATGACCAGATGCTGGCCATCCAGCAGAGCCTCATGAAAGGGAAATACGTAAGTCAGCTATCCCTGTGAACATTAAATGTGGCACTAAAGACTGTAGGTTCAATATTTCATTACTTTTAGGGTTTTCCTTTAGAAGGATTTTCCTTATTGACAAAATTGTGAATAAAACTCTTTTTTTTTTTTATAGAGGCATGTTTTATTTATTTATTTGTTTGTTTGTTTTGTTTATACATGCACTGGGTACAGTCAGAAGCGGGGGAGGGTGAGAGAATTCACCAGAGCCAGAGCGGGGAGCAGAGCAGGCAGAAGGACCGAAGTACACTGCTGAGGGGAGCAGCGGGCGGCAGGAGAGGTCTGCGCGCCATGTGGGACCCTCCTCTGGTGGCCGGGAGCAGCTGGGGATCGAACCGGCGCTGCAGAGGCTGCGGGCAGCTTCGCAACCCAGCGCTCAACCACTGCGCCACCGGGGAGGCCCCTGAATAAAACTCTTAAGGGGCCTCCCTGGTGGCACAAGGGGGTAAGCACCGCACTATGAAGCAATCCCCAGCCAGCCAGGGAGCTACCCACATGGTGAAGCAGATCTCTCTTGCCTTGCCCGCTGCTCCCCTCAGCAGTGTATTTCAGTCAGTCTGCCTGTTTGTTCCCCACTCTGTCTCTGGTGAATCCTCTCACCCCCAGCATTTCTGGCCTGTACCCCAGCTATTGTGTGCATAAATAAATTTTTAAAATAAAATAAAACTCTTAAAACAAAATGTTCACTATTCGTCTCTATAATGGAGGAAATCTTTGCTTGCTGAGCCCTTGACAGATGAGGGCAATGGCTGGGAATGGATGGTTTGCTTAAAAAAAAAAGGAGGGGGATTAGTACAGAGATGCCTGGTCTTTCTAAATATTCTGCTCATCTTTATTTTCCTATAGGTTTTTCCTGCAGAAGTTTGAGAGTGGTGCTAGAGAACTGACTGAATCAGAAACCAAGTCCTTGATGGCAGCTGCTGATAATGATGGAGATGGAAAAATTGGGGCTGATGGTACGTTCACATCTGTACATTGCATAAAAGACTTTAGCTTGGGTCAAGGAGCATCAGAGGGCTTGGGCAATGAGAGCAGACAGATGTGGGTTAAAACCTACCTTTCCTAGCCTTAACAAAGCCAATCCAGCTTGACTTCCTCAAAATCTTAAGCCTCAGTGTTTTCACCTGTAAAATGGGATTAAAGGGAGGATACAAATGATGTGTGTAAAAACATGACACCTGCAGAGGTATCACAGGATCTGGTCCCCACTGGTCATTATGTGAACCAGAGGATATCCTTCAGCTGCCTAGGAGACTAGTAGCTGCCTGGCCAATTACTCGCAGGACACCCTAGCACACCCTGAAAATAGCGTAAGGAATTTCCACCAGTGGAATTTGAGTCCATCTGAATAAGGAAAGGGACGGCATTCTCGAGCATGTCTTGTACGTACCAGAGTTGATAGGCTTGCGTGGGAAAGCCTCTTAGCTTTCAAGGGTTTAAGCAAGTACATTTTGTTGGAAATTAGTCCACCAAGGGGACAATATTAGATAGAGAATAAATAAATAAATCGACTGCTGTTTATGGGGTCTTCTGTGTAGAGATCCCTATAGTCAGAGTCTACCATAATTGTACAGCTCTAGGATAATTTTCACTATGTTGCCTGCATGCTTTTTAGCTACTTTGTGCATGCCAAGTCAACAGGACCTAGACATAGTATTTGTGGTGGTACTAATCTGAAATTAAAAACTGCTACTTTAGGTCCTTATTTCAAAAACCCATATTCAAAATATCACTAAAACTTGCTATACAGGAGTTAATGCAATTTCTATAGATAGTTCAGAAAAATAGATTAGGTAAGGGAAGATTGATTCATTTAAACTCAGTCATAAAATACTTCTAAATAGACAAAACTTACCAATAAATATTAAAAAAAAAACATTTTTCGATTTCAATTTGTAGTAGCCCCACATTATCATCATCATCATTAGTAGAGTAGTAGTAGCCTTTTAGTAATATAACCTTTTTGAGGTAGGATTAGAACTCAATAGAGAAAAGTTAGTTCAAAATCCTACCCTATTAAGCATTTCCTAAATAGGCAATACATAGCTACCAAATAAGAAAAAAAAAGCAACATGTCTGTCTAAACTGACCAAAAAGTAGAATGATCACATATCATGATAAGCCTTCACTGAATTCACTCTTTGGCAGAGGAAAAGGACTGACTTCATAAGGGGCCACATTGCAACGTTAATGCTATTTGTTCAGTTAGACTATGTAGGAAGCTGGACCACCATAGACCCCCTGAACTGGAAGGCAGTGACTCATATTTTTCTGCCTTCTGTGCCCCTCAAGGGACCAGGCCTGTCCTCTGACCCTTTGCTTCATTTCCTTTCCTCTTCAGAATTTTCAGTGGCCGTAGCATGTCTACAAAATGCTGAGCCTTCTCACTGACCCTGTTCTTACTTCCTCTGTTCTAGAATTCCAGGAAATGGTGCATTCTTAAAAGCCCCAGTCTATGGAGCTAGAGACAACCAGCTGGAAGGCCTCCAAAGCCCAGGAATGGGAAACCCCAAATCTTTCCCCTAGTTTATTTATTATTTCCCCCTGAAATCCTTCTGTGATTTGCTTATTGTAGTGAGCTAGTAAGAGAGTCATTTGTGACTTTTTTTGGGGGGTGGGAACGCCCTGATGACTCCTATAAGGCCCTCAGCAGACAATGCCTTTAAAAAGCATCCAATAAAGACACGTTTCTCATCATCTGCTGTGTGGGTGTGTTTTTTTCTCAGCAAGGTAGAGGGAGGAAAGGAATTTGGGAACTGAGGACTATTAGACTTCTGGTCCTTGCACCGACTAAGCAAAGCACACTCATGTGATGCATGAGCGAACAGGGAGGGAAAACAGCTTAGAAAAAGTCACAAATCAGTGGTGTTGTTACGTCAGGACTTTCTTAGCAAATGTCCTAGGTCTGAAAAGAATATGAAGAGATTTTAGCCAGCACACAGTCACTCCTGCTGATGTTTTCTGCTACTGGGTATTAGATTGCCCTAAGAGAGATTTAAATAAAGCAAATCATGGAAGAGAACAGCGTGAAGTTACAGTAGGCCAGTAGCTAAGGAGACCAACCAGGCTAGTTCAGTGAAACAGACTCATTTACAACATTTTTGTTCTTAGCAAACAGGCTGTCAGAGACTGACCTGCTCATACCCAGCCTCCTCCAGTCTCCCCTCCCCCTTCTCAGCCACAACTTTCCTGGCTCTTATTTGATACCACCTGAGCCAGTTACACCAAGAACTGTGTGAACATTCAAGGTGAGCACCAGGGGTCCTCTTACAGGGTTTTCCTCAGGTGGGGCAATCTCAAGCCAGGAAATTCTCCTTAGTCTGATTTCCAGGTTCAAGCAATTCTCTGGCTGACCCTGAGAGTCAGGGACCCCTGGAAGGAATAGGGGAATTTTCCTGGGAGCTTAAGAGCTTATACTCTTTACCCCAACATCCGACTTCAGCTGACGTGCTCTGGATGTCCTGGGCAAGCAGCTCAGTGGCTTTTGAAGCCCTATTCTTTGGGGGTCATCTTACAGCAATTTTCAAATGTGGGGCATAGACTATTGTTATAGAGCAACCCCGATATTAAACGGGTTCCTGGCTGTGGGTCCTCACCCGCGTGCTTTAAAGGGACTTATGAATACTCTACTACAGACACACACAAAAGGGTTAATAAAAGGTTTATTTACAAGAGAAAAAGAAATAAGGAAAATGTACAACTCAGGGAGAAAATAGGGAAATAAAGTCTTTAATGCGTCCTACCCGATCCGACGACCTGGAAACCCAAAGTCACTCTCAGAGCTGGCCGGACGCTGCGAGCTGGCCGAGAGCCCAAAAATGGAGAGCCCCCAAAGCCCACGTGTCTGCCTTTTGTATCCACCTGGCTGCTTAACCCCACCCTCAGGTCCCAGCCACCTTCCCTTTGGTGGTGATGGGATTTGGAGTTCCCAGTGTCTTTGGCTTTGACCTGGGGTGGGGGTGGAGTCCACAAAGCCTATATGGAATTTGCTTTGGGACATCCTTTTTCCCCCTAACACTATAAGGGAGCCTTAAGATGAATTTAGGGGGACAGTGATCCACAATTTTTAAATTTTAATCACCATGTATTTATTTTAATATGTGTTAGGAAAAAAATAAAATTAGCACAAACAAGTGATTTCAATATCTCTGCTTGAGAATGAGGGTAAAAGAGTATCAAACATTTAAAGGTGTGACCATCTGAAGAAGAATGGTTAAAGTGATTATAGAGATAATTATTTGGAGCGACAAAAACCATAAAGGTCATTTTCAAATGCATCAAAATGGGGAAATATAGCTTGAAAATGAAGACTTTTTGGGGAGTGTCAGAATATAAAGCTCTCATTTCACGACTACCTCTTCCCACTCCCTGCCGGCAGGAATCAGACTCCTCCTGACCTGTGCTTCCCCTTGTGTGTAAAGATATCTCCCAGATGCATTGCTGAAGTCCTCAAATATAGACAGTACCAGGGGGCTTCCTGGCCCACACTGACATAAGAGCCTTGATTGTTAGAACAATCCTGCACGGTGCCTTCACTGTCCCACACACAGTCTGACCCCTCCCATTTACTTTACTTGACTGCATTAGGCCTTCCCTGCAGAGGGCTGTTCATCTCAACCTCAATTCTAAAGGGGTGCTCTGAATAACTCAAAGTGATCCGACAGCCCTCTCTCCTTGGTGTTTGGGCCCAGCCGCTGTGCGCCTTGGAGAGACAATGTGAATAATGATGCTTTTAAAATAATGGCTATGAGCTCTTCTTGAATGAGCAATCCATCATCTGTTGGGGCAGCCAAGGCAATCTCATGCTTAGGTAAAGATTATGTGTTTCTCTTACTTCTTTTCTGCCTCAAGCGAACATCTGTGTAGGAATAAGAACCAGACGGGCTCTGTGGAGTACCCAGGGGTCACTGTGTCATTGGCTTCTACTGATGTTCTCTACTGTGGAAATTGCTTAGAGGACAAACACACACAGAGGATAAATCACCACAAATTTTTATAGATAGAATGATGGTCAGTTAGCATGAATTTTGTTGATTCTACCACTTTCTAAGGCATTTTCAATTCTTTTTGTCCAATCTAATCATTCTTCCAGCCAAGACTTAGGAACCCCATTTCCAAGTGTCTGTCAAGGAAGTAACTATCAAAAGGAGTTATCTGCCTGTGTTTAATACTCAAAACATGCCCCAAGGCGGTATGCTTAAATGAAACACAGCAATCTTGTCTGCAGTGATACCAATTATTAATTATGCTGGTTGGATTTTGGGTCAGGGGATTTCATTCCATCCCTGGATGTTTTTACCAATGTCAGAATTTGAATATATTCGATAATTAGCACTTTTTCTAAGATGAAGTTTTGTAGTAAAATGAATACTTCAAAATCTTTGATGGCAAGCATTTTTTGAACATTAACTTTTTTTAATTACCCAAGTTTAGTCATTATATAAATTTCATACAAACAATTCCTCTTCCAATGAATCCTATTCAACATGTGCTTCACAGGACAAAGAATAAGGGATATAGAGCAAAATGTTAACCGTTGTCATCTCCATCTGGTAGGGTCACCATGTGATGAGACAGGGCCTTTTTTTAAAAACACAGCATAGTAACTAGCAAAATGAAAAATCAAAGATTTAGAATTTACCCAGGTATTACCATAAGCCAAAATACTAATAAATTCTAATTAAAAAAAAATCCTTTTAAGCCAAGGATGTGCCCCATACTTAAATGAATGAATGCGTGCCATAGTATTCTGTTTTCAAAACTTCTATTCATTTTTGGGGTCTCATTGATGTATCATATGCCAAGGGAAAATTTAAAAATTAAACGTATTTAGAGTCCAATCAAAACTGGAAAAACTCTAAATGAAATTAAAACAATCCAGAAAAGGGAAGGCAAGCAAATGAACAAATTGATTCTTACCTGATTTACAGGTGACCACCAACCTGTCTCAAGACAGCAGGTTCTCAGCAGTGGAGTGAAATATTTTGGCTTTGAAGCATGGACCTAGATTGCATCAGAGATTGCAGAGCTGCAAAACTTAGTTATTTTCCATAATCGCTTAAAAAAATAGGGCTAAAACAGTGGTTTATTTTGGGCTATTTTTATTTATAATTTTGGCTTATAGCTGGTGGAATAGTTTATAACTTAATGGAATGTGATCCCAAAGTTAGCTTCATGAAGCTTAATTGCTGAGACTAATAGGAGTAATTAAAATATTTAGTATTTTGCTTCAACTTCTGCACATTATAAAATCTTTATTTATAATTTTAAATGTAAAGGTTTTCACAGTAGTTCATACCAATTCAAAAGGCAAAGTAAACAAAACAGTGACAATGTGAATTACTTGTCTGTTCAGGTTTTCAGGCTACATAATTACTTCTGTGAAACTACTACAGTTTAATTTTATGTAATGAGTGCTCAGGAATCCAATTTCAAGCAAAAACCTATCTTCTATCTCTTCTGCTAATGTTAAGGTGTGGTATTACTTTGCAAACACTTAAGAAGACAGATGAAATTGGAATCACGAGGATCATTTCCAGCTGGCCTGTTAATTTATTCACTGGAAAGACTGTTCATTTACATAATGTCTTAACTGGTTTCAAAAAGTCAACTTTTTGGGGTGGGAGCAGATTTTGACTTTGCTTTCTTAGGGGTTCTACAATGAATGCAAATGGCTTCACACCTTCAGCTATTTTTAAATTATAAAGAATTTCAAACATGCAGATGGGAATATACAGAGACTCAGCATAACAAACACCTGCATACCTACCGCTCCTTTTGTCAAATCTTGCTGTGGTGACTTGGTAAGATGTCAACTTGTTTAGGCTGCATGTTGGGGTGGACAACAAACAGTATGCCTGAGGTGTGGAGGGTGAGAATCAGTAACAGCAGGGCAGTATTTATGCAGCAGAGAGCGGCGTCATGGGGTGCTCATTCCTCCCTGGCTCTCCTCTCCTCCCCTTGGTGTGGGGTCCTTCCACTCCCCAGTTCCAGGAGTCTGTTTCCTTCTGTAACCAAGGTCACCAGCTTTCCCTGAAGCACACTTTCATCATCAGACTTGGATCAGCGAGACACTGGCCTGAGCTCCGGTCTGCCCAGTGGGTTCCAGCTTATCCTCACTCTCTCCCTCAGTGCATCCAGCTTCTCTCTTGCCTGCTTCTCTGTAGACTTCAAACTCCAGCATCAGATGAAGACAATAGCCTCGTTTGCTGTTAGCCAGTTCGCACAAACACATAATACCTCTAATAGACACAGATACATATATAATATACAGAAGTACATATGACATGATAACATCATTACCTAACAGCTGTAATTAATATCTAAAAAGTACATTATATATAATATACATATAGTTTCTTCTAGTGATTCTGGTTCTCCTATTAGATTCTGACTTACAGAATTTGATTCAGATTTTTCATTTTTTTTAATAAAAAGAATCACACGTTTTTGTGATCCCTTGCAGGCGATCACAGCATTGGAGATCAAGGGCAATTTTAACTGCAGAAGAGAAAATATACCCTCA